ATTACATAACCTAAGCGCCCTAAATTTGTTAGTTGACAAGTAAAACTTGTGTTTTTAGATAATTATTTTATTTTCACTGTTACCATAAGTTACTCACTCTAGTTAGATTTAGTTATCTTAATTTGATTTTTGAATAAAATTTAATTAAATAAGTTGTTATAATAAATAAATAACAATTAAATTTTTTTTTCTTTTTATAAGTAGTTTTTTTTAATATTTTCTTTTAAATAAAAAAATATTTTAAATTATTATTTATTTATTATATAAAATCGTTAAATTAATTCCATAAAATTAAGAGATTGAAATAACTTAAAAAAAAAAAAAAAAGACAATAGAGAGCAATTTTGAATTAAAAAAAAAAAAAAGGCGTTTGGCCCTATAAATTGTGTAAGTTGATTAACTTTAATTAAAATGTTAGTATATAACAATAATTATACTTAATTGAGCTATAAGCTCGAGCTCGTTAAATCAATGAGCTCGGGCCCAGCTCGAGCTTGCTTGATTTAAGTCAAATTTGAATTTGAGTTTGAGCACAGCTTTGGTAGACTCAATAAAGCTTAGGCCGAACTCAGGCTCTGAGCCCCGGCCCGTAGGACCTTACAAGCCCTACCAAAGAGGCTTCAACTTCGATTAAGAGTATTTGAGAAAATGGGTACTTAATTTCCATCTCCAGTGGGATGCATCCGGGTTACAAAGCCAAATTAGCTTGAGTTCCCTTGGCCAAATCGATACTCAGATCAGTTTTAGGACTTGGGTCGTGGTTCAACCCTACGAGAAAGAGTAATGAAATCCAAGATGGGTATATGGGTTTGATAGTGATAGCCGATGGGTATGTGAGAATTTTAGGGTTTTATTGGAATTGTCAGATTTGGTTTCGTGAGAGGCCGAGAGTGGGAACAGGGACATGAGGCAATTGGAAAGGGGAAAGGAGAAAAGTTGGGATTTAATGGAGATAGTCAATGGATATGGGAGGGAAGTTTGAGACAGCAAGGCGGTGGAACGGACTAAGAACAGAGGGAAGCATGCAGTAATCGGAAGAAAGGAGAAGATATTTGGGAAAGGATCCCAGAGACGAACCTTATTTTTTAAAACATTTTTATTCATATATTAATAAAATCTATCTTTTGATGGCAGAAAAACTGGGTTTATATTTTATATTGACAATGGTCTTTGAATTTCGCTGTATGAAATTTTGTTTCTAGTGTTGATGTTCATATCCAAGGTTCTACTTAGTCGCAGAAAACAGGAGAGAGGAGAAAGCAAGGAGAAAGGAGAGAAGAATTTGGTCGCACACTAACTATTCTTTTACAATATGCCATGTCAGCGTTTTTTCCACCCTCCCGTTGTTTTAGTACACGTGGTGCTGACCAGGGGGTGACAGAAACGTAACGGCCCCGTGACTACCGTCACTATTTACCGTCCATTTTGGGTTTTTTCTGTCAGTGGACAAGTTTGGGATCTTAATTTTTAAGTTGTAAGGTAAAGGGCAAAAAGTTTTGAACTTGATAAGATGAAGGGTTTTTCATATTGTTTTGCGTAGTGCTGACACTCCTGTCAATGTAAAAAATGGGATGGGCAAGAATATCTGCCGAAAAAGCTGTCCTTTTCAGGTGAGCACCGTCAGACCTCGTGGATTAGTTACATAGCCATCAAGGCATCAACCTCAAGGTCAAATGAATCGACGGTCAATGTGATGATGACTTATGAGCTCCTGTAGAAAGAGCGCTTTGGAATTTTAGTGGCATGATACTGCTGGGTATGGTCATACTGCGCAGTAAATAGGAATGTTACTTAAAAATGATTTAATTTAATTAATATTTTAAT